ATGCCGAGCAATAAAAGTCTTCATCTGAGAATATACAAATATGACAAGCTAACAGAGCAAGAAAACAGTGGGAAGGAGAAGAACCTGGCATGAGCAGGAAACAGACTCACCATCCCAACTGGAGCCCATATACAGCATTTAGACTGTGAGAGCTGACCACTTTACAGCTACTGCAGTAACACAATATATTCCAATGCAAATTACAATGCTGTAATACAGGAAACATCTGGACATCCAGCAGCTGTGAATTTTAATTGCTACCATTCAGAAATGCGAAGTAAATATACTGCTCTGCAGAATTTCTTCATCCAAATGTCTTTACATCCGTAAGCATACATATACCCTTTGCTTTACACTGTTTGCTACACATTCACAGAAACAGAGAGTAATACAAGAAACATCTAGCAGAAGTACTTTTCAAAGTAAAATAAAAATAATTTTCAACATGCTGATTATGCAGTAAGTCACTAAACAACAGCAAAAGCCTTGTTTTGCTTCGTCCATGTAACAGCAGACTTTTGTCCTGTTTGTAAGAGACAAATGAGCTTTTCACGCGTACAAAAACACATGAACAAGCATGCAGGACCAACTAATGCATACAGTTGCACACAGAGATGTGTTGTGGCTGGCCCAGTGGCAGCACCTGCGAGAGCCAGGCAGAGGTACTGACAGCCCTCACGGGCTTCTCTGCCCTTCCTTATGCCCCTCTGCCCTTGCTACTCCTCTCCCTAGAGAGGGCAGGTGGAGGAGGCTGCATTTGCCGAAGGAGCATCCGTTCCCTGTCCCCCACAGTGAGAAGGTGATGGCTCAGGTAAAAACCTCACAAAGGGGCTGGATCTGGCCCCCAGGCCATGAGCTGGACCATGCTGAATTAGTTAAAATGGCGCAGACTCAGCTGGTGTGGCACATCGAGCTACTCACTTGCATAAAATACCACTTTGTTCATGCAGCTGTAAGTTCACCTTCTCAGTTACAGCTTCTGTGTGACTAGTTTACGGTTTCTTTTTTGAAAGCTTGGGTTTTGAAATACTGCACTCTAACTACAAGAAGTTATTGACATGTAAAAAGCTTTTTCTAGCCAAAGAGAAAGTAGCACCTCAATAATTACTTTATGCAGAGATTAAGCTAGCTTAGCTATACCACATAAGAGAAGATGGTGTAAACCTGCCATAAAATAGTATTAACGTTGTGGTATTAACTTATTTGCTAGCTAGAGGAAAAGTCTTTCCAGTTCAGCACCCAGTAAAACATGCCAATACCACAAAAAATCATATCATTACACCAGTGAGATTAACTGATATAGGAAATACAACAAACCCATCAAGTCAACTGTCATCCCAGGACACAGCTGAAGAAGCTCTGGAGTGTGCAGGCAGAGATATAAACTCTGTTAACTGCATACTTCATTTGTCTTCTAGCATACTTATCCAGGTTGAATCAGTTCAGCATCTTTTTAAAAAAATAATTATTGAAACACTTGAAATACTTCTAGATGATCCCAATAGGAGTTACACCCTTTAAGATCTGGCTGAAAAGCTATGTATTTACTTCTGAGGTAAAGAGAGAAAAAAAGAAAGAAAATACAATTAGGTGTGAAACAGGAATGCTGGCCCAGAGACTGTGCTTCCCAGACCTTCAGTGGTCTTACAAAAATGGTGACCTTTTTTATCATTCAGTTATTCTTCAGAGCTTTGGGGAATACTCAGGATGCATACTAATATTCATTCTATGAATACACTCATTGCACAGGAAATGCACTCTCTGTAAAATGTCCCTGAGGGAAGAAACACATTTGTCTGTCTTACTCACTTGTTCCTTAGAGAGAAGTTTAAACAACAAAGATACTGAAACAGCAGCGCTTGGTTGTAAGTAGACCTACTTGAAATTGGTTTATCAAAACTATCTCTACAAACCTGTTGCTACATTTTCGTTAACTTTGAAGTAGGCTCTGATTAAAATTTTCATGTTTTTTGTCGTCTTAAAAGAAAACAGATATTTTCCTTGCTATTTTTCACTAGAAACAAACACTAATACCAGCCTGTTATAATTCAAGGGAGGACACTTGAAGCAGTTGCTCAACTACAATTGTTTTTCCCTTTGTCAAACAGTGGAGAAATAACAATATATTCAAAATCTATTACAAACTGAACAACAGGATATTATCAAAGCAAGTCAAAACCAATTTCTTCCCATGCCAGTCCGAAACTTCTAAATATTTATGAGGTTTTACATTCCTAAATTTAACAGGAGTGCCATAATCCAAAATAACTGCTGAATTAATAGCCAGGAGATAACATTTGTATAAAAGAACCATTTGCTTTACGACAGCAATAAAGGAAACAACAGAATTATGCCTGTTGAGGCTAATTTGAATAATGTTTAAAAAATTATATGTCATGGGGCAGCAGCAGTATTCTGGCTGCACCTGGCCTTGTCTGTCCTCAGCTTCTCAGGTTGGAAATGCAGCAGTCCAGGGTTTATAGGAGAGCAGTAATTAAAACTTCATTTTTTAATTACAAAGATATAAAATATATTCATAACACAGAATATTAAAACATACCCATTCCTGAAATTTTGCTGCACTGCAGGACAAATTCCAGTGGATTTCTTAAAATAAACAGCAATAACAACACACTCTTCCAGGAAAACAGGGGGGATGAACATACCATGACAATAAGAGGAAGGGGCAGGCAATTAAAATTCAAGTTACAGTGAAATTATTTTTTAAAGCACCCCAGTGATTTAGTATCACTTAAAAGGCTTGCTTTCTTTTGAAGTTCAATTTTCCCTTTCTAGAAACAATTAAGAACATCATACTCTGAAGTCTTTTTACCCTGTGGACCAAGCAATTTCAATGCTTTTCATCCTTGAGAAAAATTTACATGACTCCTCTGCAAGCTGATGGTAAATGAAAGCCGGACATGCCTCCTCTGGTCACATCTCCATACCCGTTGGTACTAAAGCAAAAATTTGTCTTGAAAGGAACCACAAACACAGATTGGGCTTAACACATGCAAGGCAACTGGTCTTGCCTAATAAAGTACAATCCCAGCAGTTACCAGACTAGGAAACTATCACCACTTGTAGGCAGCTCTGAAAAAGCAGATATCATACCCCCAAATAAGAGCATAAAGACAAGGTCTATAGCTACCCTGTACTTAGTACTTCAGTTTTACTACCTGTGTGGATAAGACATAAGTGCTTATTATGCAAGGAAAGCATTTTGTATATTAGTATGGCTTTATTAAAAAAAAATAATAGCACTTTCTGCCATTTGGTATGCTCAGCTTCTTTCCCATGCGATATCGGACTATTCTCTAACAACAATTTCTACTGCTGAGTGCAGCCCACTTTTTATACAGCCCTATGGACAATGACATGTGGAATGGTTAGCAAGGTTTCCTAATCAGAAAACACTGTCAGACTGATGAGAAAAAAGTAACAAGAAACTTGAATATGTATAACACATATAAAGATATCCCATGCAATATGTGTCCCAATGTAGCAAGAGTGGCAAAACAATATGGTATGCCTCTCAACTCCCGGGGGGACTGGCTGAGTCAGGAGTCCGTGTACTATGGTTTCAGTAGTGGGTCAGGATCTGACCTGATTTATATTCTAGAGTGAAACTGGAGCTTCAGACAACATGACACACACACAAAAAAAAGACTACCCTTTCAAGTATCTCTTCACCTAGAATCTCTCTTAGAAGATTAGGAACTGAAAAACCTTAAAGGCTGATCATCAAACCCTGCACAGAAAGTATCAAAGTGGAAAATATTTAAATGTGATGCCTTCTTTATCTCTCAGTTAATCCTCTACCAAGCCACACTTGGAGACAGCATTTTCTGATGGCAAAGATTTTTATTGGTAAATGGTTCTTTTGATGTATAAAGGCCTCTAAAATACTTGCTTATATTTATAGCTGCAGGCATCCTTTAAAACATGTATAGTCAGTTACTAGCAGTGAGTGGACAAATTTTGCACTTCTTCATAGCCATGGAAGACCAAAGCCTGTTATGTGCCAGTCCAACACATTTCTTACTCTCTCCAAAGGGGAAAGAATCAAATGTTTCAGCTCAGGGATGTTTTAATGCCCAGAGTCAACCCAGCTTTTAAAGGCTTCCATCTGTTACTGCAGACTACAGCGATGGCATCCCTCTGCCCTTCACCATGCTGAGTTAGCACCTCTTTTCCAATGGCCAACCACAGCAGAAGCAGGATAGCAGCATTTGAAGGGAATTTTATAATATTTACAGTAAAGGGGAGTGGGTTAGAAAAGCTTTAAAGGGTGCATATGTATTCTCTTCTGGATTTTTATTCTAATGATTTAACATGATTACCACAGCAGCATTGCTGCTGCCTTCAGGAGTGAAATCACCCAGAATCACAGAATCATTTAGGTTGGAAAGGAGATCTTGAGACCAGCCAGTCCAACACCACCGCTCCAGCACGGTCAAAAAACCCACCAACTTTATTTGCCCTTCAGCAACTTTCATCAGATTCCAATTCTCTGTATGAAGGGATATTCAAATAACCACAACTGGAGAGTGGAATGAGATAGGAGTGGGGCTGTGGACTCTGAAGGCAGTTGGACAAAAACATGACAGAAGGAGATCTCATGCTGTCATATGAACACGCTTTGCCACCAGACTCTATGAATGGTTTTTTCAGTTGTAAAACACTCTGAAACAGGATTTATATATTTTAAACCTCTTCAGAGTAGCCCAGCATATAAGCAGAGGGCTGCAATTGTGAAATCAAATGCCCAAACTCTGCTCAAAGGCCCCCAGTACATGTCTGAACCCTTTGCTGGAAAAGGTCAGTCATTGCTCTAGTCAAAGTTTCACATCTGTAATTTGAGAATAATGCTGCTCTTGCATCCAGCTTCAAAATCTGC